TCCCAATCCCGATCCCGATCCCGATCCCGATCCTGATCCCGATCCTGATCCTGATCCGGGTTTTTATCCCAGTCCCGATCCCGATCCTGATCCCGATACTAATCTTGATCCTGATTCCGATCCCGATCCTGATTCCAGTCCTGATCCTGATCCTGACCCTGATCCTTATCCTGATCCTGATCTGGGTTTTGATCCCGATCCGGGTTTTGATGCCGATCCTGGTCCTGATCCCGATCCCAATCCCAATCCTGAACCTGATCCTGATCCTGATCCCGATCCGGGTTTTGATCCCGATCCTGATCCCGATCCTGATCCGGGTTTTGATCCCAATCCTGATCCCGATCCTGATCCCGATCCTGATCCCGATCCTGATCCCGATCCTGATCCTGATCTGGGTTTTGATCCCAATCCTGATCCCGATCCTGATCCTGATCCTGATCTGGGTTTTGATCCCAATCCTGATCCCGATCCTGATCCTGATCCTGATCTGGGTTTTGATCCCAATCCTGATCCCAATCCTGATCCTGATCCTGATCCTGATCCCGATCCCGATCCCGAACCTGATCCCTGATCCCGATCCTGATCCTGATCCTGATCCCGATCCCAAACCTGATCCCGATCCCGATCCTGATCCTGATCCTGATCCCGGTCCTGATCCTGATCCCGATCCCGATCCGGGTCTTGATCCCAATCGTGATCCCGATCCCGATCCTGATCCTGATCCCGATCCCGATCCCGATCCGGGTTTTGATCCTGATCCCGATCCCAATCCTGATCCTGAACCTGATCCTTATCCTGATTCCTATCCGGGTTTTGATCCCAATCCTGATCCCAATCCCGATCCCGATCCTGATCCCGATCCTGATCCCGATCCTGATCCTGATCCTGATCCAGTCCCGATCCTGATCCCAATCCCAATCCCGATCCTGATCCTGATCCTGATCCCGATCCCGATCCGGGTCTTGATCCCAATCGTGATCCCGATCCCGATCCTGATCCTGATCCCGATCCCGATCCCGATCCGGGTTTTGATCCTGATCCCGATCCCGATCCTGATCCTGAACCTGATCCTTATCCCGATCCCGATCCGGGTTTTGATCCCGATCCTGATCCCAATTCCGATCCCAATCCCGATCCCGATCCTGATCCTGATCCCAATCCCGATCCCGATCCTTATCCCGATCTTGATCCTGATCCCGATCCTGATCCTGATCCGGGTTTTTATCCCAGTCCCGATCTCAAACCTGATTCTGATCCTTATCCCGATCCTGATCCGGGTTTTTATCCCAATCCTGATCCCAATCCCTGATCCTGATACAGATCCCAATCATGATCCCGATCCTGATCCCGATCCCGATCCTGATCTGGGTTTTGATCCCGATCCTGATCCTGATCCCGATCCTGATCCCGATCTGGGTTTTGATCCTGATTCCAATCCGGGTTTTGATCCCAATCCTGATCCCAATCCTGATCCCGATCCCGATCCTGATTCTGATCTCGATCCCAATCCGGGTTTTGATCCCAATCCTGATCCCAATCCCAACCCTGATCCCAATCCCAATCCCAATCCTGATCCTTATCCTGATCCCAATCCCAATCCTGATCCCGATCCTGATCCCGATCCTTATCCCAATCCCGATCCCTGATCCCGATCCGGGTTTTGATCCCGATCCTGATCCGGGTTTTGATCCCGATCCCAATTCCGCTTTTTATCCCAGTCCCGATCCAGATCCTGATCCCAATCCGGGTTTTGATACCGATCCCGATCCTGATCCCGATCCGGGTCTTGAGGGACACCTGAGGGACACTGAGGGACACCCCGGGCAGGTGACATCGCCGGTGACAGTGACAGCGCCCGGGGGTGGCGCCTGACCGGTCCTGCCGGTGTCACCTGTGTGTCACCTGTGTCACCTGTGCCACCCCCGGTGTCACCTGTGCCACCCCCAGAGCCACCCCTGGTGTCACCTGTGTGTCACCTGTGTCACCTGTGCCACCCCCAGTGTCACCTGTGCCACCCATGCTGACACTGCAGGTGACACCGGGGGTGGCACAGGTGGGACAGGTGTCACTGGGGGTGGCTCAGGTGACACAGGTGACACCTGAGGTGGCACAGGGGACACTGGGGAGCAGCACAGGTGGCACAGGTGACACCGAGGGGTTGCACAGGTGGCCTCGGGGTGACACCGGGGGGTGGCAGAGGTGGCTCGGGGGACATTGGTGACACCGGGGCGGTGACATCGGTGACACTGAGGTGACCCTGGGGTGGTGGCACCAGTGACATTGAGGTGACCCTGGGGGTGACCCTGAGGTGACCCTGGGGTGACACTGGGGTGACCCCGATGGTGACATTGAGGTGACACCAGGGGTGGTGACACCAGTGACATTGAGGTGACCCTGAGGGTGACACTGGGGTGGCACTGGGGGTGGTGGCACTGGTGACCCTGAGGTGACCCCTGGGGTGGCACTGAGGTGACCCTGATGGTGACACTGAGGTGACACTGGGGTGACCCTGGGGTGGTGGCACCGGTGACCCTGGGGTGGCACTGAGGGTGACACTGGGGTGACCCCAAGGTGACCCCAATGGTGACATTGGTGACCCTGGGGTGGCACTGGTGGTGGTGACACTGGTGACCCCAAGGTGACCCTGGGGGTGACACTGGGGGTGGCACTCAGGTAACCCCAGGGGTGACACTGAGGTGACCCTGGGGTGACACTGGGGGTGGTGGCACCGGTGACATTGAGGTGACCCTGGGGGTGACCCTGGGGTGGCACTGGTGACCCTGAGGTGACCCTGAGGTGACACTCAGGTGACACTGGCGGTGACCCTGGGGTGGCACCGGGGGTGACCCTGAGGTGACCCTGGGGTGGTGGCACTGGTGACACTGAGATGACACTGGGGGTGACATTGAGGTGACCCTGAGGTGACCTTGAGGTGACCCCGGGGTGGTGACACCGGTGACACTGGAGGTGACCCTGGGGGTGGCACTGAGTTGACCCTGAAGTGACCCCGAGGGTGACACTGAGGTGGCACTGGGGGTGGTGGCACTGGTGACCCCGAGGTGACCCTGTGGTGACCCCGAGGTGACCCCAAGAATAACCCCAGGAGTGACCCTGAGGTGACTCCAGAGGTGACCCTGGGGTGGTGGCACCAGTGACCCTGAGGGTGACCCCGAGGTGACCCTGAGATGACCCTGAAGTGACCCCGAGGTGACCCCGGGGTAGTGACAACGGTGACCCCGAGGTGACCCCGAGGTGACCTTCAGGTGACCCTGGGGTGGTGGGACAGGTGACCCCAAGGTGACCCTGAGGTGACCCCCGGGGGGGTCAGGAGGTGACATCTCAGAGGGGTCAAAGGTCACACTGAGGTAACATCACAAAGGGGCCACAGGGTTAAAGGTCAGGGGTCAAGCCGGGGTCAGGAGGTCAAGGGGTCACAGCACGGAGGGGTCAAAGGTCATCCACTGACCCCACCCCCCCTCTGGGTGAAATTTGGGGACTTTTGGGGTGAATTTTTGGGATTTTGGGTGAAATTTGGGGATTTCTGGGTAGAATTTTGGAGATTTTTGGGGTGAAATTTGCGGGTTTTGGGGTGAAATTTTGGGGATTTTTGGGGTGAAATTTGGGGATTTTTGGAGTGAAATTTGGGGACTTTTTTGTGTAGAATTTTTTTTTTTTGGAGTGGAATTTTTGGGATTTTTGAGGTAAATTTTTTTTTTATTTTTGGGGGTGAAATTTGGGGATTTTTTGTGTAGATTTTTTAATTTTTGGAGTGGAATTTGGGGAATTTTTTGGGTGAAATTTGGGGATTTTGGGGTAAAATATGAGGTTTTTGGGGTAAAATATGAGGATTTTGGGGTAAAATGTGAGGATTTTGGGGTGAAATTTGGGGACTTTGGGATAGAATTTTGGGGGTGAAATTTGGGGATTTTTGAGGTGAAATTTGGGGATTTTCTGGGAGAAATTTGGGGATTTTTGGGGGTGATATTTGGGGATTTTGGGGGTGAAATTTGGGGACTTCGAGGTAGAATTTTGGAGATTTTTGGGATGGAATTTGGAGGATTTTTTGGGTTAAATTTGGGGATTTTTTGGGTGAAATTTTGGGGATTTTTGGCATGAAATTTGGGGATTTTTTGTGTCAATTTTTTTATTTTTGAAATGGAATTTTGGGGATTTTGGGGGTGAAATTTGGGGGACTTTTTTGTGTCTTTTTTTATTTTTGGTGTGGAATTTTGGGGATTTGGGGGTGGAATTTGGAGATTTTGGGGAAGAAATTTGGGGATTTTGGGGTAAAATTTTTTTTTTTTTTTGGAATGGAATTTTGGGGATTTTTGGGGTGAAACTTTGGGAAATTTTTTGTGTCATTTTTTTTATTTTTGGGGTGGAATTTTGGAGATTTCGGGGGGGATTTTGGGAATTTTGAGCTTCTGGACATCAGGATTTTGGGGGTGGATTTTTTTGGGGTGGAATTTTGGGATTTTGGGGTGGAATTTTGGGATTTTGGGGTGGAATTTTGAGCTCCTGGACACGGGGATTTTGGGGTGAATTCTTTTTATTTTTGGTTTTCTGGACACCGGCATTTTTTGGGTGGATTTTCCCCAATTTTGGGGCCGTGACTGAGATTTTGGAGGTGAAATTTGGTGATTTTTGGGGTGGGATTTTGGGCTGGAATTTTGGGGATTTTGGGCTGGAATTTTGGGGATTTTTGGGGTGAAATTTGGGGATTTTTGGGGTGGAATTTTGGGGGTTTTGGGCTGGATTTTTGGGATTTTTGGAGTGAATTTTTGGGACTTTTTGGAGTGGATTTTTGGGACTTTTTGGAGTGGATTTTTGGGGTGAAATTTCGGGATTTTGGGGTTGATTTTTTTTATAGTTTTTTGTCACCCTGAACAGCAGATTTGGGGTGAAAAACATTTTTAATTTCCAGGCTGGAACTCAGATTTTGGGGATTTTCAGGCTCGGGGCCCCTGGAGGGTTTTGGGGTGAATTCGGCCGATTTTGGGATTAATTTGGCCATTTTTGGGGTGAATTTGGCCATTTTTGGGATTAATTTGGCTGATTTTGGGATTAATTTGGCCATTTCTGGGGTGAATTTGGCCATTTTTGGGGTGAATTCAGCCATTTTTGGGGTTGATTTGCTGGTTTTGGGGTGAATTTGGCCGGTTTTGGGCTGAATTAATCAATATTTGGGTTGAAATTTGCTATTTTTGGGTTGGACTCGGCCGTTTTTGTGTTGAATTCAGCCAATTTTGGGTGAACTTGGCCGTTTTTGGGGTAAATTTGGCCATTTATGGGATGAACTCAGCCGGTTTTGGGTCGAATTCAGCCGGTTTTGGGCAAACTCAGCTGTTTTGCATTAAACTTGGCCGATTTTGGGTCGAATTCAGCCGATTTTGGGGCAAACTTTGCTGATTTTGGGTGATTTTGGCTGGTTTTGGGTTGAATTCGGCCGATTTTGGGCGAACTTGGCTGATTTTGGGTCAAATTCCGCCATTTCTGGGCTGAGTGTGGCCATTTCTGGGGTGAATTCAGCCGATTTTGGGTTGAACTCGGCCGATTCTGTGTCAAATTCAGCCGATTTCGGGTGAGCTTGGCCAATTTTGGGGTGAATCCGGCCAATTTTGGGTCGAACTTGTCCGATTCTGTGTTGAATTCAGCCGATTTCAGTTGAGCTGGGACAATTTTGGAGTGAACCCGGCTGATTTTGGGGTCAATCCAGCCAATTTTGGGGTGAATCTGGCTGATTTTGGGGTGAATTTGGCCAATTTTGGGGTGAACCTGGTGGATTTGGGATGAACCCGGCCAATTTTGGGTCGAATTCAGCTGATTTCGGTTGAACCCGTCTGATTTTGGAGTGAATCTGGCCAATTTTGGGTCGAACTTGGCCGACTCTGTGTCAAATTCAGCCAATTTTGGGGTGAATCCAGCCGATTTTGGAGTGAACCCGGTGGATTTTGGGATGAACCTGGTGGATTTTGGGTCGAATTCAGCTGATTTTGAGGTGAACCCGGCAGATTTCGGTTGAACCCGGCCGATTTCGGTTGAACCCGGTGGATTTGGGGTGAACCCGGTGGATTTGGGGTCAATCCGGCCAATTTCAGTTGAACCCGGCCGATTTTGGGGTGAATCCAGCCGATTTGGGTCAGTTCTGGGCCATGGTGTCCTGCAGCCAGCGGCCGTAGCGGCAGAGGTTGACGTACACCCCCGGCTTTCGGGGGTCCCCGCAGACCCCCGGCCCCCAGGAGGTGATGCCCTGCAGGCGCCCGTTGCACACCAGCGGCCCCCCGGAATCGCCCTGGAAGGAAATTCGGGGGGTCAAGGCGGGACCCCGAAATTCCGGAGGAAATCCGCGAAGATCCGGCGAGAATCGAGAGAAATCTGCCCCAAATTGCCCCAAAATCACCCCTAAATTGCCCCAAAATCGCCCCAGAATCAGTCCCAAACTCACCCCAAAATTGCCCCAAAATCGCCCCAAAATTGTCCCAAAATTGCCCCAAAATCCGCCCAAAATCACCCCAAAATCGCCCCAAAATCCTCCCAAAATCCTCCCTAAATCACCCCTAAATCACCCCAAAATTGCCCCAAAAATCACCCCGAAATCACCCCCAAAATTGCCCCAAAAGGCCCCAAAATCCCCCCAAAATCACCCCAGAATCACCCCAAAATCATCCCCAAAATCGCCCCAAAATCATCCCCAAAAATTGCCCCAAAATTGCCCCAAAACCAACCCGAAATAGCCCCAAAATCACCACCAAAAATTGCCCCAAAATCACCCCAAAATCGCCCCAAAATCACCCCCAAAATCGCCCCAAAATCGCCGCAAAATCACCCCAAAATCACCCCCAAATCCCCCCAAAATCGACCCCCAAAATCCACCCAAAATCACCCCAAAATCACCCCCACAATCGCCCCAAAAATCGCCCCAAAAATCACCCCAAATATTGCCCCAAAATCGCCCCAAAATCCGCCCCAAATTTGTCCCAAAATTTCGCCAGAATCACCCCAAAATTGCCCCAAAATCACCCCCAAAATTGCCCCAAAATCGCCCCGAAGTCGCCCCAAAATCACCCCCAAAATCGCCCCAAAATTGCCTCAAAATCACCCCAAAATCACCCCAAATTGCCCCAAAATCACCCCAAAAATCGCCCCAAAATCACCCCCAATTCACCCCCAAAATCGCCCCCAAAATAGCCCCGAAATCCGCCCGAAATTGCCCCAAAATCCACCCAAAATCACCCCAAAATCCCCCCAAAACCACCCCAAAATCGCCCCAAAATTGCCCCAAAATCGCCCCAAAATTGCCCCAAAATCACCCCAAAACGCCCGGGATTGCCCCAAATTGCCCCAAATTCACCTTGGACTGACCCACATTTGCTTCAAATTGACCCAAATGACCCCAAAATGACCCAGAATTGCCCCAAATTTGCCCTGGAATGTCCCAAATTGTTCTCAAATTGCCCCAAATTCACCTCGCATTGACCCAACTTGCCCCCAAAGTTGCCCCAAATTGTCCCAAAATGGCCCCAAATTGTCACAAAATGGCCTCACACCTGTCCCACACCTGTCCCACCTGTCCCACCTGTCCCACCTGTCCATGTCCCACCTGTCCATGTCCCACCTGTCCCACACCTGTCTCTCACCTGTCCATATCTCACCTGGCAGGTGTCCGCCCGGCTGTGGGGCTCTCACCTGTCCCACACCTGTATCTCACCTGTCTCACCTGTCCATGTCTCACCTGTCCATGTCTCACCTGTTCATGTCTCACCTGTGGGACTCACCTGGCAGGTGTCGGCCCGGCTCCGGGGCTCTCACCTGTATCTCACCTGTATCTCACCTGTCTCTCACCTGTCCCACACCTGTATCTCACCTGTCCCTCACCTGTATCTCAACTGTATCTCACCTGTCCCTCACCTGTCCCACACCTGTATCTCACCTGGCAGGTGTCGGCCCGGCTGTGGGGCTCTCACCTGTATCTCACCTGTATCTCACCTGTCCCACACTCACCTGGCAGGTATCTGCCCGGCTCCGGGGCTCTCACCTGTCCATATCTCACCTGTCTCACCTGTCCATGTCTCACCTGACAGGTATCCGCCCGGCTGTGGGGCTCTCACCTGTATCTCACCTGTCCATGTCTCACCTGTATCTCACCTGTCTCACCTGTGGGACTCACCTGGCAGGTGTCCACGCGGCTGTGGGGCTCTCACCTGTCCATGTCTCACCTGTATCTCACCTGTCTCACCTGTGGGACTCACCTGGCAGGTATCCGCCCGGCTCCGGGGCTCTCACCTGTCCATGTCTCACCTGTCCCACACCTGTCTCACCTGACAGGTGTCCGCCCGGCTGTGGGGCTCTCACCTGTATCTCACCTGTGTCTCACCTGTCCATGTCTCACCTGGCAGGTATCTGCCCGGCTCCGGGGCTCTCACCTGTATCTCACCTGTCTCACACCTGTGTCTCACCTGGCAGGTGTCTGCCCGGCTGTGGGGCTCTCACCTGTCCATGTCTCACCTGTCCCACACCTGTATCTCACCTGTATCTCACCTGTCCATGTCTCACCTGTCCATGTCCCACCTGTCCATGTCCCACCTGTCCCACACCTGTCCATGTCTCACCTGTCTCACCTGTCCATGTCTCACCTGGCAGGTGTCGGCGCGGCTCCGGGGCTCTCACCTGTATCCCACCTGTCCGTGTCTCACCTGTATCTCACCTGTCTCACCTGTCCATGTCTCACCTGTCACACCTGTATCTCACCTGGCAGGTGTCCGCCCGGCTCCGGGGCTCCCCGGCGCAGACCCCTCACCTGTCCCACACCTGTATCTCACCTGTCCCAGACTCACCTGGCAGGTGTCGGCCCGGCTCCGGGGCTCTCACCTGTCCATGTCTCACCTGTATCTCACCTGTCTCACCTGTCCATATCTCACCTGGCAGGTATCCGCCCGGCTGTGGGGCTCCCCGGCACAGACCATGTTGGGGGTGATGGAGTCGGGGTAGGTGCGCCGGCAGGTGAGCTCAGGTACGATGCGCACCTGGCTGCAGCGCAGCTCCTGCGGGAACGTCACTGCGGGGACAGCGGGGTCACACCTGGCCAGGTGACCCCAGACAGGTGACCCCACACCTGTCTGGGGTCACACCTGGCCAGGTGACAACACACCTGCCTGGGGTCACACCTGGGCAGGTGACACCACACCTGGCCAGGTGACCCCAGACAGGTAACCCCACACCTGTATGGGGTCACACCTGGGCAGGTGACCCCGGACAGGTAACCCACACCTGCCTGGGGTCACACCTGGGCAGGTGACACCGCACCTGGGCAGGTGACAACACACCTGTCTGGGGTCACACCTGGACAGGTGACACCACACCTGGGCAGGTGACACCGCACCTGGGCAGGTGACAGCACACCTGGGCAGGTGACAGCGCACCTGGGCAGGTGACACCACACCTGGGCAGGTGACACCGCACCTGGGCAGGTAACCCCATCCTCGACAGGTAACCCCACACCTGGGTCACACCTGGGCAGGTGACCCCACACCTGTCTGGGGTCACCTGGGGTCACACCTGAGGTCACACCTGGGGTCACACCTGGGGTCACCTGGGTCACACCTGGGGTCACACCTGGGGTCACACCTGGGGTCACCTGGGGTCACACCTGGGGTCACACCTGGGGTCACCTGGGGTCACACCTGGGGTCACCTGGGGTCACACCTGGGGTCACACCTGGGGTCACCTGGGGTCACACCTGGGGTCACACCTGGGGTCACACCTGGGGTCACACCTGGGGTCACACCTGAGGTCACACCTGGGGTCACACCTGGGGTCACACCTGGGGTCACCTGGGGTCACACCTGAGGTCACACCTGGGGTCACCTGGGGTCACACCTGGGGTCACACCTGGGGTCACCTGGGGTCACACCTGGGGTCACACCTGGGGTCACACCTGGGGTCACACCTGGGGTCACACCTGGGGTCACACCTGGCGTCACACCTGGGGTCACATCTGGGGTCACCTGGGGTCACACCTGGGGTCACCTGGGGTCACACCTGGGGTCACCTGGGGTCACACCTGGGGCACACCTGGGGTCACACCTGAGGTCACACCTGGGGTCACACCTGAGGTCACACCTGGGGTCACACCTGGGGTCACACCTGGGGTCACTTGGGGTCACACCTGGGTAACACCTGGGGTCACCTGGGATCACTCCTGGGGTCACCTGGGGTCACCTGGGGTCACCTGGGGTCACACCTGGGACCACCTGGGGTCACACCTGGGGTCACACCTGGGGTCACACCTGGGCAGGTAACCCCACACCTGTCTGGGGTCACACCTGGGGTCACCTGGGGTCACACCTGGGGTCACACCTGGGGTCACACCTGGGGTCACACCTGGGGTCACCTGGGGTCACACCTGGGGTCACTCCTGGGGTCACACCTGGGGTCACCTGGGGTCACACCTGGGGTCACCTGGGGTCACACCTGGGGCCACACCTGGGGTCACACCTGGGGTCACACCTGGGGTCACCTGGGGTCACACCTGGGGTCACACCTGGGGTCACACCTGGGGTCACCTGGGGTCACACCTGGGGTCACCTGGGGTCACACCTGAGCCCACACCTGGGGTCACCTGAGGGTCACACCTGGGGTCACACCTGGGGTCACACCTGGGGTCACACCTGGGGTCACACCTGTGTCATTGGGGTCACACCTGGGGTCACACCTGTGTCACTGGGGTCACACCTGGGGCCACCTGGGGTCACACCTGGGGTCACACCTGGGGTCACACCTGGGGTCACCTGGGGTCACACCTGGGTCACACCTGGGGTCACACCTGGGTCACACCTGGGGTCACACCTGGGGTCACCTGGGGTCATACCTGGGTCACACCTGGGGTCACCTGGGGTCACACCTGGGGTCACACCTGGGGTCACACCTGGGGTCACCTGGGGTCACACCTGGGTCACACCTGGGGTCACACCTGGGTCACACCTGGGGTCACACCTGGGGTCACCTGGGGTCACACCTGGGGTCACACCTGGGGTCACACCTGGGGTCACCTGGGGTCACAACTGAGGTCACACCTGGGGTCACCTGGGGTCACACCTGGGGTCACACCTGGGGTCACACCTGGGGTCACCTGGGGTCACACCTGGGGTCACCTGGGGTCACACCTGGGGTCACACCTGGGGTCACACCTGGGGTCACCTGGGGTCACACCTGAGGTCACACCTGAGGTCACACCTGGGGTCGCCTGGGTCACACCTGGGGTCACACCTGGGGACACCTGGGGTCACACCTGCGGTCACACCTGGGGTCACACCTGGGGTCACACCTGGGGACACCTGGGGTCACACCTGGGGTCACACCTGGGGTCACACCTGGGGTCACCTGGGGTCACACCTGGGGTCAGCTGGGGTCACACCTGGGGTCACACCTGGGGTCACCTGGGGTCACACCTGGGGTCACCTGGGGTCACACCTGGGGTTACACCTGAGGTCACACCTGAGGTCACACCTGGGGTCACACCTGGGGTCACACCTGAGCCCACACCTGGGGTCACCTGGGGTCACACCTGGGGTCAGCTGGGGTCACACCTGGGGTCACACCTGGGGTCACACCTGGGTCACACCTGGGGTCACACCTGGGGTCACACCTGCGGTCACACCTGGGGTCACCTGGGGTCACCTGGGGTCACACCTGGGGTCACACCTGGGGTCACACCTGGGGTCACACCTGGCCAGGTAACCCCCACACCTGCCTGGGGTCACACCTGAGGTCACACCTGGGGTCACCTGGGGTCACACCTGGGGTCACACCTGGGGTCACACCTGGGGTCACCTGGGGTCACACCTGGGGTCACCTGGGCAGGTAACCCCCCACCTGTCTGGGGTCACACCTGGGGTCACCTGGGGTCACCCGGGGTCACACCTGGGGTCACACCTGGGGTCACATCCAGGGGTCACCTGGGCAGGTAACCCCCCACCTGTCTGGGGTCACACCTGAGGTCACACCTGAGCTCACACCTGGGGTCACCTGGGGTCACACCTGGCCAGGTAACACCTGATCTCTCACCTGTGCCCAGGAAACCCCCACAGGTGACCCCAAAATCCCAACTCACCTGTCCCATGTGTTCCCCCTCACCTATCCCAGGTGTGTCTCACCTGCCCAGGTGCGCTCACCTGTCCCAGGTGTGTTCCCCTCACCCATCCCAGGTGTGTCTCACCTGTCCCAGGTGTGTCTCTGTACCTGTCCCAGGTGTATTTACCTGTCCCAGGTGTATTTACCTGTCCCAGGTGTATTTACCTATCCCAGGTGTATCTCACCTGTCCCAGGTGTATTTACCTGTCCCAGGTGTGTCTCACCTTGCGGGCTGGTGGTGGATCCCCACCCCGAGATCTGGCAGGTGGTCCCGGGCGTGGCGCAGGTGCGCTCACCTGTCCCAGGTGTGTTCCCCTCACCTATCCCAGGTGTATTTACCTGTCCCAGGTGTGTCTCACCTGTCCCAGGTGTATTTACCTGCCCAGGTGTATTTACCTGCCCAGGTGTATTTACCTGCCCAGGTGTGTCTCACCTGTCCCAGGTGTCTCACCTTGCGGGCTGGTGGTGGAGCCCCACCCTGAGATCTGGCAGGTGGTCCCGGGCGTGGCGCAGGTGTGTCTCACCTGCCCAGGTGTGTCTGTACCTATCCCAGGTGTGTTCCCCTCACCTATCCCAGGTGTGTCTCACCTGTCCCAGGTGTGTCTGTACCTGTCCCAGGTGTGTCTCACCTGCCCAGGTGTGTCTTACCTATCCCAGGTGTGTCTCACCTATCCCAGGTGTGTCTCACCTGCCCAGGTGTGTTCCCCTCACCTGCCCCGGTGTATTTACCTGTCCCAGGTGTGTCTCACCCATCCCAGGTGTATTTACCTGTCCCAGGTGTATCTCACCTGTCCCAGGTGTATTTACCTGTCCCAGGTGTGCGTCTCACCTTGCGGGCTGGTGGTGGAGCCCCACCCCGAGATCTGGCAGGTGGTCCCGGGCGTGGCGCAGGTGCGCTCACCTGTCCCAGGTGTATTTACCTATCCCAGGTGTGTTCCCCTCACCTGGCCAGGTGTATTTACCTGTCCCAGGTGTATTTACCTGTCCCAGGTGTCTCACCTTGCGGGCTGGTGGTGGATCCCCACCCCGAGATCTGGCAGGTGGTCCCGGGCGTGGCGCAGGTGCGCTCACCTGTCCCAGGTGTGTCTCACCTGTCTCACCTGTCCCAGGTGTCTCACCTTGCGGGCTGGTGGTGGATCCCCACCCCGAGATCTGGCAGGTGGTCCCGGGCGCGGCGCAGGTGCGCGCGGGCGGCAGCGGCCTCACCTGCCGGCTCAGGTGTGCCGGCACCTGCAGCCGCAGCAGCATCAGGTCCCCGTCCTTGGAGCTCTCGTTGTAGCCCGGGAAGCGGAAGGGCCGCACCTGCCGCCGCTGCTCACCTGGCGCAGGTGAGGCCTCACCTGGCGGGGGCGTGGCCGAGGAGGAGGAGGAGCCCCCCTCACCTGGGGGCTCACCTGGGCGCACCTGGCGGTGGGAGGGGCGGCCCAGGCTGACGGTCAGGGGGCTGTGGGGGAGGGACAGGTGAGACAGGTGAGATTGGACAGGTGAGACTGGTGAGATTGGACAGGTGGGACAGGTGAGACAGGTGAGGGACAGGTGGGACAGGTAAAGGACAGGTGAAACAGGTGAGATTGGACAGGTGAGACAGGACAGGTGAGACAGGTGGGACAGGTGGGATTGGACAGGTGAGACAGGTGAGATCAGACAGGTGGGACAGGTGAGATAGGTAAGACAGGTAGGACAGGTGGAACGGGTGAGACAGGTGAGACTGGACAGGTGGGACAGGTAAAAAACAGGTGAAATTGGACAGGTGAGACAGGTGAGATCAGACAGGTGAGATCGGACAGGTGAGATCAGACAGGTGAGATCGGACAGTTGGGACAGGTGGGACACGTAAAGGACAGGTGGGGACAGGTGAGACAGGTGGGACAGGTGAGATCGGACAGGTGGGACAGGTGAGATTGGACAGGTGAGATAGGTGATATTGGACAGGTGAGACAGGTGGGACAGGTGGGACATGGACAGGTGAGACAGGTGGGACAGGTGAGGGACAGGTCAGACAGGTGGGACAGGTGAGATCGGAAAGGTGAGATCAGACAGGTGAGATCAGACTGGTGAGGGACAGGTGGGACAGGTGGGACAGGTGAGGTCAGACAGGTGAGACAGGTAAAGGACAGGTCAGACAGGTGAGACCAGACAGGTGAGACAGGTCAGACTGGACAGGTGGGACAGGTGAGATCGGACAGGTGAGGCAGGTAAAGGACAGGAGAGGTGAGACTGGTAAGGAACAGGTGAGCCCAGGTGAGGGATGGGCACAGGTGAGGGATGGGCACAGGTGAGGGATGGGTACAGGTGAGCCCAAGGTATGCCCCTCCCCCTGCCCAGGTGACCCCTCCCCATACCCAGGTGTGCCCAGGAGCCCCCAGGTAACCCCCCAGGTGTGCCCAGGTGCCCCCAGGTGTGCCCAGGTATATCCCAGGTGTATCCCAGCCATGCCCAGGTGAGTTCCCCATGCCCAGTTGTCTCTCCCCAGGTGTCCCCAGGTGTGTCCCAAGCATGCCCAGGTAACCCCCCAGCCATGCCCAGGTGCCCCCATCCGTGCCCAGGTGCCCCCAGGTGCCCACCCAGCCATGCCAAGGTACCCCCAGGTGTGCCCGGTACCCCATGCCCAGGTGCACCCAGTTGTGCCCAGCCATGCCCCAGGTGCCCCCAGCCATGCCCAGGTGTGCCCAGGTGAGTTCCCCATGTCCAGATATGTCCCCCCAGGTGCCCCCAGGTGTGCCCAGGTAACCCCCCAGGTGTGCCCAGGTGGCCCCAGGTGTGCCCAGGTGTGTCCAGTACCCATGCCCAGGTGTGCCCAGGTGTTCCCAGGTGCCCCCTGGTATCCCCAGGTGCCCCATCCATGCCCAGGTGCCCACCCAGGTGCCCACCCAAGTGTGCCCAGGTGTGCCCAGGTGTGCCCAGGTATCCCCCAACTGCCCCCAGGTGTGCCCCAGGTATATCCCAGGTGACCCCATCCATGCCCAGCCATCCCCAGGTGTGCCCAGGTGTATCCCAGGTAACCCCCCAGCCATGCCCAGCCATGCCCAGGTATCCCCAGGTGTGCCCAGGTGTTCCCGGGTGCCCCCAGATGCCCGCCCAGCCATGCCCAGGTATATCCCAGGTGTTCCCAGGTATATCCCAGGTGCCCCCATCCGTGCCCAGGTGCCTCCAGGTGCCCGCCCAAGTGTGCCCCAGGTATCCCCAGGTGTGTGCCAAGCATGCCCAGGTAACCCCCAGCCATGCCCAGGTGTGCCCAGGTGAGTTCCCCATGTCCAGATATGTCCCCCCAGGTGTGCCCAGCCATGCCCAGGTGTTCCCATCTGTGCACAGGTGCCCCCAGCTTCTCCCAGCCATGCCCACGTGTGCCAAGGTGTGTGCCCAGGTGTGTGCCCAGGTGTGCCCAGGTGTGTCCCAGGTGTGCCCAGGTGTGCCCCAGCCATCCCCAGGTGTCCCCAGCTGTGCCCAGGTGTTCCCAGGTGAGTTCCCAATGTCCAGATGTGTACCCCCAGGTGTGCCCAGGTGTGCCCAGGTGCCCGCCCAGCCATGTCCGGCCATGCCCAGGTGCCCCAGGTGTGCCCAGGTATCCCCAGGTGCCCCCTGCCGTGCCCAGGTGCTCCCAGGTGCCCCCAGCTGTGCCCAGATGTGCCCAGGTGTGCCCAGGTGTATCTGAGCTGTGTCCAGGTGCCTGACTAGCCATGCCCAGGTGTGCCCAGGTGAGTTCCCCATGTCCAGATGTGTCCCCCCAGGTGTGCCCAGGTGCCTCCAGGTGCCCCCAGCCATGCCCAGGTGCGCCCAGCAGTGCCCAGGTGTGCCCCAGGTGTATCCCAGCCATGCCCAGGTATCCCCAGGTGCCCCCAGGTGTGCCCAGGTGCCCCCAGGTGTGCCCAGGTGAGCCCCAGCCATGCCCAGGTGTGCCCAGCCATCCCCAGGTGTCCCCAGGTGTGCCCAGGTGTGCCCAGGTGAGTTCCCCATGTCCAGATATGTCCCCCAGGTGTGCCCAGGTGTGCCCAGGTAACCCCCCAGCCTTGCCCAGCCATGCCCAGGTGCCCTCAGGTACCCCCAGCAATGCCCAGCCATGCCCAGGTGTGCCCAGGTGCCCCCCCAGCCATGCCCAGGTACCCCCAGGTATCCCCAGGTGTGCCCAGGTATCCCAGGTTATGCCCAGGTATATCCCAGATGCCCCCAGGTGCCCGCCCAGGTGTGCCCAGGTGTATCCCAGGTGTGCCCAGGTGTATCCCAGGTGTGCCCAGGTGTATCCCAGGTGTGCCCAGGTGTGTGCCCAGGTGTGCCCAGCCATGCCCAGGTATCCCCAGGTGTATCCCAGGTGTGCCCAGGTATCCCCAGGTTCCCCCAGGTATATCCCAAATGACTCCATGTGTACCCAGGTGCCCCCAGGTGTATCCCAGCCATGCCCAGGTATCCCCAGGTGTGCCCAGGTGCCCCCATCCATGCCCAGGTGTGCCCAGGTGCCCCCAGGTGCCCGCCCAGCCATGCCCAGGTATATCCGAGGTGCCCCCAGCCATGCCCAGGTGTGCCCAGGTATCCCCAGGTGTGCCCAGGTGCCCCCAGCCATGCCCAGGTGCCCCCAGGTGCCCCCAGGTGTGCCCAGGTGTGCCCAGGTGCCCCAGGTGCGCCCAGGTTTATCCCAGGTAACTCCCCAGCCATGCCCAGCCGTGCCCAAGTGCCCCCAGGTGTCCCCAGGTGTGCCCAGGTATATTGAAGGTGTCCCCAGCCATGCCCAGGTGTGCCCAGGTGCCCGCCCAAGTCTGCCCAGGTGTGCCCAGGTATATCCCAGGTGCCCCCATCCATGCCCAGGTGCCCCCAGGTGCCCACCCAGTCATGCCCAGGTGCCCCCAGGTAACCCCCAGGTGTGCCCAGGTGTGTCCCAAGCATGCCCAGGTAACCCCCCAGCCATGCCCAGGTGTGCCCAGGTGTGCCCAGGTGTGCCCAGGTGAGTTCCCCATCTCCAGATATGTCCCTCCTGGTGTGCCCATGTGCCCGCAGGTGTGCCCAGGTGTGCCTGGGTGAATTCCCCATGACCAGCTGTGTTCCCCCAGGTGCCCCCAGGTGCGCCCAGGTGCCTGCCCAGGTGTGCCCAGGTGCGCCCAGGTTTATCCCAGGTAACTCCCCAGCCATGCCCAGCCATGCCCAGGTGTGCCCAAGTGCCCCCAGGTGCCCCCAGGTGTGCCCAGGTATATCGAAGGTGTCCCCAGCCATGCCCAGGTGCCCCCAGGTGCCCCCAGCCATGCCCAGGTGTGCCCAGGTGTTCCCCACCCATGCCCAGGTGTATCCCAGCCCTGCCCAGGTATCCCTAGGTGTGCCCAGGTGCCACCAGGTATATCCCAGCTGTGCCCAGGTGGCCCAGGTGTGCCCAGGTATATCCCAGGTGCCCCCATCCATGCCCAGGTGTGTTCCCCATGCCCAGTTGTGTCCCCCCAGGTGTGCCCAGGTGCCCCCATCCATGCCCAGGTGCCCCCAGGTACCCCCAGCCATGCCCAGGTGCCCCCAGGTATATCCCAGGTGCCCCCATGTGTGCCCAGGTGTGCCCAGGTATCCCCAGGTGCCCCCAGGTGCACCCTGGCGCTCCCAGGTATATCCCAGACATGCCCAGGTGTGCCCAGGTGTGCCCAGTACCCCATGCCCAGGTGCCCCCATCTGTGCCCAGGTGTGCCCAGGTGTGCCCAGGTGCCCCCCTCTGTGCCTAGGTGCCCCCAGGTAACCCCCCAGCCATGCCCAGGTGTGCCCAGGTGTATCCCAGCCATGCCCAGGTGCCCACCCAGGTGTGCCTGACCATGCCCAGGTACCCCCAGGTGCCCCCAGGTACCCCCAGCCATGCCCAGGTGCCCACCCAGCCATGCCCAGGTGTGCCCAAGTGCCCCCAGGTGCCCCCAGGTGCCCCAGGTACCCCCAGGTGCCCACCCAGCCATGCCCAGGTACCCCCAGGTGCCCCCAGGTGCCCCCCCAGCTATGCCCAGGTGTGCCCCACCTGTGCCCAGGTGCTCCCAGGTTTATCCCAGATCCCCCCAGGTGCCACCAGGTGTGCCCAGGTGCCCACCCAGCAATGCCCAGTTATCCCCAGGTGCCCCCAGGTGCCCGCCCAGCCATGCCCAGGTGCCCTCAGGTGTTCCCAGCTGTGCCCAGGTGTGCCCAGGTGCACCCAGGTATATCCCAGGTGCTCCCATCCGTGCCCAGGTATCCCCAGGTGTGCCCTGTTATATCCCAGGTGCCCCCAGCCATGCCCAGGTGTGCCCAGGTGCCCGCAGGCACCCCGCAGCCATGCCCAGGTGTGCCCAGGTACCCCCAGGTGCCCACCCAGCCATGCCCAGGTATATCCAAGGTGCCCCCATCTGTGCCCAGCCCTGCCCAGGTGAGCCCAGGTGTGCCCAGGTGCCCCCAGCCATGCCCAGGTGCCCCCAGGTGTGCCCAGGAATATCCAAGGTGTGCCCAGCTGTGCCCAGCTGCCCACCCAGGTGTGCCCAACCATGCCCAGATGTGCCCAGGTATGTCCCAGGTGCCCGCCAGCCGTGCCCAGGTGTACCCAGGTGTATCCCAGCCATCCCCAGGTGCCCCCCCAGCCATGCCCAGGTATCCCCAGGTGCCCCCAGATGCCCCCAGGTGCCCCAGGTGTCCCCAGGTATCCCCAGGTGTGCCCAGGTACCCCCAGGTACCCCCCCAGGTGCCCCCGGTGCCCGTTACCTGTCCGTACCCGGGGGCGTGGCAGTGCGCCGCCGTCAGGACCCACCTGGGCGCCACCAGCGTGCCCCCGCAGACAAACCTGCCACCCCGGAACAGCGCCACCTGCCAGGGCGGGGCACAGGTGTGCCCGTCCAGCACCCACCTGGGCACCCGCACACCTGAGAGAGACACAGGTGTGCCAGGGCGGGGCACAGGTGTGCCCGTCCAGCCCCACCTGGGCACCCGCACACCTGAGAGAGACACACACACACAGGTGTGCCAGGGCGGGGCACAGGTGTGCCCGTCCAGCACCCACCTGGGCACCCGCACACCTGAGAGGGGCACAGAGACACAGGTGTGCCAGGGCGGGGCACAGGTGTGCCCGTCCAGCACCCACCTGGGCACCCGCGCACCTGAGAGGGGCACAGACACACAGGTGTGCCAGGGCGGGGCACAGGTGTGCCCACACAGCACCCACCTGGGCACCCGCACACCTGAGAGAGACACACACACACAGGTGTGCCAGGGCAGGGCACAGGTGTGCCCGTCCAGCCCCACCTGGGCACCCGCACACCTGAGAGAGACACACACACACAGGTGTGCCAGGGCGGGGCACAGACACACAGGTGTGCCAGGGCGGGGCACAGGTGTGCCAGGGCGGGGCACAGGTGTGCCCGTCCAGCCCCACCTGGGCACCCGCACACCTGAGAGAATTTTGAGTGAATTTTGGGCGATTTTTGGGTGAATTATGGGTGAATTTGGGTGAATTTTGGGGGATTTTTGAGTGAATTTTTGATGAGTTTTGGGTGAATTTTGGCTGAAGTTTGGGGGAATTTTGGGGGAATTTTCAGGGAATTTTGGGTGAATTTTGGGTGAGATTTCGGTGAATTTTAGTTGATTTTTGGGTGAATTTTGGGTGAATTTTGGCGGAATTTGGGGGCATTTTGGCTAAAATTTGGCTGAAGTTTGGGTCTATTTTGGGTGATTTTTGGGAGATTTTGGGTGAATTTTGGATGAATTTTGGGTCAATTTGGGGGAATTTTGGGTGAATTTTGGAGGAATTTTGGAGGAATTTTGGGTCAATTTGAGGGAATTTTGGGTGAATTTTGGGTGAATTTTGGGTGAATTTTGGAGGAATTTTGGGTCAATTTGGGGGAATTTTGGGTGAAATTTTGGGGAATTTTGGGGGAATTTTGGGTGAATTTTGGGTGAAGTTTGGAGGAATTTTGGAGGAATTTTGGGAAAATTTTGGAAAAATTTTGGATGAATTTTGGATGAGTTTTGGGTGAATTTTGGCGGAATTTTGGGTGAATTTTGGGGGAATTTTGGGTCAATTTGAGGAAATTTTGGGTGAATTTTGAGTGAATTTTGGTTGAATTTTAGGTGAATTTTGGGTGAGTTTTGGGTGAATATTGGGCAAGTTTGGGATGAATTTTGGGGGAATTTTGCACCCGCACACCTGAGAGAGACACACACACACACACACACACACACACACACACACACACACACACACACACACACACAGGTGTGCCAGGGCACACACACACACACACACACACACACACACACACACACACACACAGGTGTGCCAGGGCGCACACACACACACACACACACACACACACACACACACACACACACACACACACACACACACACACACACACACACACACAGGTGTGCCAGGGCACACACACACACACACACACACACACACACACACACACACACACACAGGTGTGCCAGGGCACACACACACACACACACACACACACACACACACACACACACACACACACACACAGACACACAGGTGTGCCAGGGCACACACACACACACACACACACACACACACACACACACACACACACACACAGGTGTGCCAGGGCACACACACACACACACACACACACACACACACACACAGGTGTGCCAGGGCACACACACACACACACACCACACACACACACACACACAGGTGTGCCAGGGCACACACACACACACACACACACACACACACACACACAGGTGTGCCAGGGCACACACACACACACACACACACACACACAGGTGTGCCAGGGCACACACACACACACACACACACACACACACACACACACACACACACACACACACACAGGTGTGCCAGGGCACACACACACACACACACACACACACACACACACACACACAGGTGTGCCAGGGCACACACACACACACACACACACACACACACACACACACACACACACACACACACACACACACACACACAGGTGTGCCAGGGCACACACACACACACACACACACACACACACACACACACACACACACACAGGTGTGCCAGGGCACACACACACACACACACACACACACACACACACACACAGGTGTGCCAGGGCACACACACACACACACACACACACACACACACACACACACACACACACACACACACACACAGGTGTGCCAGGGCACACACACACACACACACACACACACACACACACACACACAGGTGTGCCAGGGCACACACACACACACACACACACACACACACACACACACACACACACACACACACACACACACACACACACAACACACACACACACACACACACACACACACACACACACAGGTGTGCCAGGGCACACACACACACACACACACACACACACAGGTGTGCCAGGGCACACACACACACACACACACACA